TGTCTGCACGTAACTCTGCCAGCTTGAATTCTTCACAATGCTTATTCACATTGGCTGCATACGTTATAAAGTCTTGTTCGTCATCTTTCATCAGATTCAAACATATCCACCTCTTGTGAAACAGAAATGACTTTTTACTAAATAATTCACTTAATATATTTACCACCTCGGTAAATGTCAACTCACTAGTTTTTTTCGGTAAAATGTGGTTTACCAATTTCTTATGCTCAGCAGTTCCTAATTTGCTTAAAAGAACCCTAACCTTCTTTCCTTCAGACCACGACTGGCAGTCCTCGTTATAGATGTCCGTATATATTTTATAATACTCCTCAAAAGTTATCTCTTCATCTGGACTATACGAGAATATTTCAATTGAATTCCATATTGTATTCTCTAGGAAAGAATCATTTTGTAGATTTTTCTCTTTCCTCTTCTCAGTTATTTCCAGAATTTTGTTTTGAAACTCAATATGCATCTGTTCCATTTTTGTTGGAATTGCATTTGTCTATTAAAAGTTTCCTCCTGTAGCTGCATCAGGAATATTTTTTGTTGCTCTAATATTGTCATCTGTTGTTCCGAATTAAAGAATTCCCGGAATATATTTTTGCATTCCTCCATCATCGCAAAATGTTTGCAAAATGCCTAAATACTGTAGAGCGGGGGGGTTTACGAATTTGCAATTCGTGACCTATTTGAGCAAACTGCATTATCGGGAAAAAATATTTATTTTCTCAGTTGAGAATACGACAGATTTTTTCGTCACTAAGTTGACGTTTTGGCTTGCGAAAAACTTTGCCAGGAAATTTTTTTTTTTTTTTTTATGTGTGAATCCGAGACTTTGTTGCCGAAGTTATTGTGGCGAGCGAATTTTTTTTTCTTCCACCGTATGAGTTCGAATCCATCGTCGCCAAAGTTGTTGTGGAGTGATTTCGCAGTGGAGGCTTGTATTTGTACTAAATCGGTCCTAAAATAAGTTCGATGTACAAAGCGTTAAGAACTTGATATAATAGGTATTACGCAGAGTAATCTTGTTGTGGTCGCTGATACTTTCGTATTCGACTAACTGTCGTCTGACATCGAATTGACCGTCGTTTCTCGTACTACTCATACTTATATTAGGTGGTAGAGTCTATTAACGATAGAATAGGTGTGTTTCACCATAACAGTATGGCGACTGGTCTTGGTGAAGGACAGCTCTGAATTCCAAACCCGCGGAGTGTCGTTTGGCGACTTTGTAGCATATAGGTCTCTGGATTCGCCCCTTCAAAAAGTGTGGATGGTTCTGCACAAAATCTTCATCACTATAATCAAATCTCATGTGGTGGTGTCTGGCTGTCGGTTCCTAGGTACTGAACTGCTTGACTCTCATTCGACGGCAGAGTCGTGTATATTGCTATTTATTGACTGAAAAATGTCATCTTTTTAATTATGGATTGAACGACGAAAGATTGATATTCGAAAGCCTTTTTATGCCGTCTGAAATGACAAGTAAGACATTTTTTGACATAAAATTTGTAGATGTTCTTGCGTACCGTCCGGACATTCTGCGTGATAAGGAGATCTCGATTTTAAGAATACCCTGAAAAGATTTTGCATGTAAGTTCTAGCTGAATTTTTACCTGGCTGAATGTTTTGACGTACTAATCAATTGCTAGTTAATATTCGTGTCAGTCAGCTGTTGGCTCTCACACTGGCCAATAGAATCTCCCTGCCTATTCGTGGCAGCCAGCTATTGGCTCTCACCCTGGCCAGTAGAAAATGGCCGCAAACTACATGAAAACTGCCGTAGAAGCATGAAAAAATTGATTATTTCCACTATGGATGGGAGTTGGGAAATGCATTTGGTCTTCCCGCTCACTTGGAGCCTGTGCATGTAAATTTTAGTGCAAATCCGTCGAAAATTGCGGCTGTGCATTCGTCACACACACACACACACACACACACACACACACACACACACACACACACACACACATATCCTGCCTTTTATAGATAGAGATCAACATTCTAAAGCCTCAGTACCGTTTCTTTAGTCTGTGAATCTGAGATTTACCACGAGGTAATTGTATGTAAAATGGATTAATATGTACTAGCTATTTGAAAGAGAAATTGTAAAGTATACAAAAAGTAAGAAAATTAGACTAATTATCGTTTACGTGTTTATTAATAACAATATGTGTAAGTGCTGACATTTCTCTGGTAAGAGGAGTTTAGAATTATTTTCCTTTATTTTCAAAAGAACTGTCTAAATGGTCTTACTAACATTTGAGTTATATGTAAAGATGTTTTCTCTATAATGTCATTGGACTATCAGTTTCGCAAGGCCTATTAATAACGACTTGGATAACTGTTGACATTTCTGTGAATGCAGAAGTTTCGAATCATTTTGATTTATTTCAGTAGGACTGACTAAAAGAAGTCTAACATGTGAGAGGTATGTAAAAATCTTTTTACCTATAATATAAATAGATTATCAAGGACTATTTATAAGGATCTGTGTATTTCCAGTCAAATTATTTTCATTTATTTCAAAATGACTTTCTTAAAAGATTTTCACATTTGAGAGGTATGTAAAAGCTTTTTTACTATAATGTAAATAGATTATCAAGGGCTATTAATGATTTGTATATTTTCTGTCGAATCATTTTCATTTATTTCGAAAGAACTGCCTAAAACAATTCTAACATTTAAGAGTTAAGTAAAAACCTTTTTATCTATAATATAAATAGATTATCAAGAACTATTTATAAGGATCTGTGTATTTCCAGTCAAATTATTTTCATTTATTTCGAAATGACTTTGTTAAAAAATTTTCACATTTGAGAAGTATGTAAAAGCCTTTTTACTATAATGTAAATACATTATCAAGGGCTATTAATGAGTTGTATATTTTCTGTCGAATCATTTTCATTTATTCCGAAAGAACTGCCTACAACAAGTCTAACATTTGAGAGGTATGTAAAAACCTTTTTTATCCATAATATAAATGGATTATCAAGGACTATTAATAATGATTTATATATTTTCTGTCGAATTATTTTCATTTATGTCGAAGACATCTTTGAATTACAAAATGACTTAGTCTAGCTGTGTTAAAGCTGGTGAGATATGTTCGGCACAAAATTAATATGATATTAATTGATTTAATTAGACTCGTTTTTTCATTTAAATATTTATATTAATTTAGTGATTGTTTAACAAGTGTGTGTTAACATTTTATAATTATTTTTATACACCATATTTTATTGGGAATTGTAGAAAAAAAGTTTCTTTTCTGGAAATCATAAATAACACCATATATTCTCTTCCTTTTTTCTCTCCTTTAGTTCGTTGTCTTATTTTCTTAGAAATATATGTTTAAAAATAAACTGTTACCACCATGTCGGGGAAGTAAGTAAGTAGATATAATTTTGAGGCCATTAAGTGCTCTGTTTCTTTTACTATATTATATAGAAATACACAAACACACATACACACACGCATACACACATATATATGTGTGCGTGTGTGAAAGAGAGAGAGAGTGTGTGTATGTGTGTGTGCGAACGTGTGTGTGTTGGAACGTGTGTGTACACGCGTACGAATACGCAGTAAAATATTATGCATAACGTTTCTTTGAGAATAATTTGAACACCAGCATTCCAAAAAATGTACGGAAAATTGAAGAAATCTTTTCTACCACACTGAAAACAAGCAATTCTTGATAATATCTGAGACGCTCGAAACAACATGTAAATATATATATATATATATATATATATATATATATATATGATTTGTACAGTTTATTCACATTTTCTTTTTATTTTGATGTACAATTTAGACGGAAACAGAAAAAAATACAGTAAATAAATAGACAAGCACAAAACCTCCGTTGAATTTAACGGCACTCGTTTAAGTGAATTTACAGTACTGGGCAAATAGATAAGAACTTCAATAAAATACAGAAATAATATATTATCAAATTATGGTTAACTTTTCCCCCCACTCCAAAAAAAGCTTTATATAATTGTTCTAAAATGTCACAGATAAGTATTTTATATGTCCGCCTCTACTTTTAATGAGCATTTGGACACATTTTAGGAAATATTTGGCCAGTTTCATACCTGTGTTGCACATTTTTTCATTGTAATACCATATTCCAATGACCGTACAGATTAGCTTCCCTGTCGCGGTACAGTTGTTGCTTCACAATAGTTCCACAAGTTTTCAATGAGGTTTTCAAAGACGTTCAGGTCTGGGGTATTTCCTGGCCAGTCCAACACTTTTATGCCCTCATTTTAGAAACATTAATTCATTTTTTCGATGTGTGTCACGTGGCATTCAGTCAGTTATCTGCCATGCATGATACACGCATAGGCAATCACGTATCTTTAGATACATGACTGACCAGGCAGATTTTTTCCCGCAGTCGGTTACCATTTCTTTCTGTGGTAACCAGTTGCCATCCAAGGCTATAGAACCCGGTCTCTCCTGCTATTTAGCCGGTTGGGGGTGGGGGGGAAGAAGAGGACTCATACCTTTCCAAAGTAATGGGTTCGATTGGAATTCGAACTCGGGTCTCAGATTCCTCAATCTACGCCGCTATCCTTTACCCTACCTAAACACACCATTTACAGCTGGGTAAAATTCTTCAATATGGACTTTCAAAAGATCTTCATATTTTGTGCTATTCCTCATCCCATCGATTATTCTCAGTCTACCAAATTCATTTGTGCGAAAAATACCCCAGAACATTTTCTTGGGAACGTGGTTTTTGCTCAATAAAGTTACTTATGGATTCACCTCTGCTTCTAGCTTTCCAGAGCTGGATATATGACCTCTTACTTGAAATGCGTTTTACCCGAGAATAACATTTTTTTTCCATTCTTGTACTCTCTATTCTTTTTGAGATTTTGTCCATTGGAGTCATTTATCCTTCATTCTTCTTGTCAAAAGCTGTTTTTATGTGGTTTTCTGGCTGGACGCTCCATTTCATGTAACCGTCTCCTGAGTCCAATATGGACACACCAGATTCCACTAAATCTGCTGCCGGGTCCCTGTTACTTCTTCCTTGGGTTTTTAATGCTGATTCTGAGTAGCATTACTTTGTCTTTTTTGGTAGTTTTCTTTTTTCTTCCATAACTTCCCTTTCTCCAAATCTTATTGTGACCCAATAGAGTCTGCCTTTTTCAGAATGCGTCCAACACTGGGCTATTTATTGCACAGATTTTTTTTTGAATGTCCATGGTGCGCAATAACCTGTGCACACTTTACAGTTTCGATTCCTGTCGGAGAAGCAGATGTACGAAATTTCTCTAACATTCAGGTCGGTAAATGTATTAGGTTGGTGCAAAAATAAGGACGTAATAATGTCGTTTTTTGATGTATTTTTTAACGTTAAAAATGACATTATTACGTCATTATTTTTGCACCAACCTAATATTTATACTGTTTAATTAAAAAAGAGCATTTACTTAAATAAATTATATCTATAAATAACGTATAACCAGAATACACGCACGCACACACACACACACACACATATATATATATATACAATATCTTACTTTGTTATTGTAGGGAATAGTTCGTATTTGAAATAGAAAATCCATTTATATTTATTAAAATGTGTGTATTACGTCTATGCGCCTGCGCAATCCAGAAATTCTAGTAAAATTGCTTTATTGGGGAGACCATCGTTTGCCCCAGTCTGCTTTATCCCTTGTCCCCGAAGAACTAAAATTTTAAATTCAATTATATAATTAAATTTAAAATTCCATTGCTCTGTCCCAAGCGATTTTCGGAAGGTCATTGTTTCTCTATGAAACATGGTAATTCCTGTGTAGCGATGGAACTATGTTTTGAAATAGAAAATAATTATAATAATTATAATAATTAAATATATATCAATTTTAAAGAAGTCAAAGGAAAACGACTCCATTTCAAGGGAATCGTTATTCTATCTAATAGATAATTTATTTTCCTCTTTCAATATTAATACACATTCATTTTTGTAAGAAACGCTCAAGCCAATATCCAAAGTTGGTTCGTTATTATTGCGGTAAGCATAGACAGTTTCGTCACTTTCCTGTTTATTATCTACCAATCTGGACTCTAATTCTTGTAATTTCCATCTTGCTAAAGTATTTTTTAACTGTATTTCCCTAATAAATGTCAATACGATGTCTCATTTTTGACGTGTTACTGTAAAAATTCAAGCACAAGCACAAATCGAATTATTGTAATATAGTTTATTTCTTTATTTTTTCTAAATCTGTTTCTGCTTCTGTTGTGAAAAAGGAGCAGAGAACCAATTTAAAGATAGGGCAAGGCTCTATTGTTGCAGCTGTAGGCGTTCCGTGTTCATATTACTTTTTCACAATGTTTTGTTCTTGTTGTTACTTTTATCGATAAAATGGCCAAGTGGTGATGTTCTAATGGTGTATAAAATAGTGAACCAACTAGCCAACTATTTTCCATGCCTGGACGGAGGTTTGGAATTAGGTCAACTTGAGAAGTTATGTAAAATGTTCCCAATTTATGGCAAACAAATCTATTCGAACAATAATAAGAGAAATTTTACACATCAGGATATTCACCCGAAAAACAAAATAGAATTGGAAAAAAATAATTCACTGAAACAACTTAGTCTGCCTTTTAGATTTGTTTTTTTTTAAGCGTTTCACCCCAAGCAAGGCGTAAAGCCACTAGGACGCAAGAGGTTACAGAAAATTTGGAGCAAGATCAAATAGTAGTGATAGAAGAAAGGATGATTAGAAGAGTCGTGGATAGATCAAGGCAACTGGAGATACAGAGGCCAGTGAGTGAGTGAGTGAGAGAGAGAGAGAGAGAGAGAGAGAGAGAGAGAGAGAGAGAATTGCAACCCCTTCCTAAACAAGAAACAAGGCGTAAGCCTCTACTCATGTCCAAGAGAAGGGGGAGGAGTGTTGACCGGGCGGTAGGAAAGCCTTCCTACTCCTATTGATATATGATAATATAAAGGCACACACCCTGTACTGAGTAAATATGTAAGAGAGATAATGGCACAATTTCCTGTCGTTTCTTGCTCTAAGTAATATTTGACCCTTCCGCGGCGTTCTTCGACATTGAAAATG